TATATATATATATATGTATGTATATATATATATATGTGAGCCAACATAAAGTAGATATATATATATATATATGTATGTATATATATATATATATGTGAGCCAACATAAAGTAGGCAAGAAAATTTAACAAAGAATGAAGATACATAGGGCAGGCAAGAAAATTTAACAAAGAATGAGCCAACATAAAGTAGGCAAGAAAATTTAACAAAGAATGAAGATACATAGGGCAGGCAAGAAAATTTAACAAAGAATGATGATACAAAAGTAACTGAGATCAAACCAAAATTTTTAGGAGCATTTACATACATACCACTCAATATGTAGTTACATATCTAACACTAAAACTTTACATTTCATACTTACAGGATCCAAATTTTTCATATCATATCAAAAATACAAAAATACAATACATCTTTTTATGCATAGATAACGTGTCAAACATTTAAAATTTGAAGTTTAGATGTTATATATATGTAAATACATGTGAATTGAGTGGTATGTATGTAAATCTTCCAAATTTATATTTGTATAAAACAGCGGGTTAGCTGCAAACCTGTCTTGGCAGACGAACAAGACTTCCTGGATCATCAATATCACTACAGTAACTTCCATCATCACACTGATCATTGTTGACACTGTCTTTGTCCCAAGAGGCACCAGAAACAAAATCATCATTTTGTTCTCCCGGTTCATCTAAAGCAAAGTGACATATATTTACAAGCTTGTCAATAAGTGCCTTATCATATTCAAATGATAGAAAGTCTAAAACCCATCGGCATTCATTCAACTTAATCAAGAAAATTTTAGCGTTTGTTTGGGAATGTTTTTTGTCAAGTTTGTAACTGCCAACATAATGCTATTACGAGAATTATATTCTTGTTGTTTCCTAGAAATTTTGTAGTGAGAAAATGCTTTTTGCAACCAAATCTGCTAAAGTGCGGTAACTGTTAAAAAGTTATTATCTGATTTTTTGGAAAAATAACATTTATAATTAACATTACAGTTTTCTAAAAAATTGTATTTCTCACCACAGCTTTACAACAAGCTGCATCCATCTCAAACGGACCATTATTTGTTATGAATCTACATATTCGTGATGGAAAGATTACAGCAAAACTCACTAAATAAATTGCTCAACAAATAAAAATGTAAATGCAATTACAATGGACAAATTGTTTCAAAAAACACCATTCAAAAAACATTATTCTAACCTTGTGAAAAGGTGCTACCTTTTTTTACCAGAAAAGTGCTTTTAGGCATCATAAAAGGCAAGCAAGTAAAATAGTTCAAGTCTAAGAAATCTGTACCAAATTATATCTTAGAGCCAAATAAATCCTACACAGAAATAAAAATAAGACGCATTTACATACATACAACCCAATTCCTATATATTTACATATCTAACACCTATACTTTGTTTTTTACATTAATACCGCCCAAATCTTTTTATAATAAATCAAAAAAACTTTTTTTAACCTTTAAAAAATAAAATACACCTTCTCATGCATAGAAAAGGCAGTATATGTGTAAAATTAAAGTTTAGGAGCTAGATATATGAATACATAGGAATTGAGTGGTATGTAAATATTCCTAGAAATAATGTCAATTGCACAATTTTCAGTACTTTTTCAAACGAGCCGAAATAACGAAAAGCAAAAATCGCAATGTAACAAATTCTAAACATAGTGTAAAATTTATGCACGATTTACACTAAACTTTAATGTTTCACAAATTGGTGCAACTCTATAACATTGTAAATGTCAGCTAAAGATTGACATGTAGGCCATATTGATGTCATTAACACCCAACATCACCAGGTGGCATTGTGATAAATATCTGCTAGCACGTTCATAATCCTTCTTGATACAAATTGATGCTCGCAAATAGAAGTTCAACAACATAAAACAAAACTTAAAATCCGTCAAAGCAAGGCAGTTTTCAAATAATTATTGTCAAGACGCCAAACATTGAGGTTACAACTTCATTCAGACAAAGTCATTTCTACCTTGGGAAATAAACTACATGACCCGGTTCAGTGTTTAAGCAATTACATACATACCACCCGATTTTATGTATTTATATATTTAACACTTAAACTTTTATTTTTACATTTATACCACACGAATCTTTCATATCACATCAAAAATACCACTATTTTAACTTTTAAAATGTGAAATATACCTTTTTATGCATATAGTAAGGTGGCATATATGCAAAAATTGATGTTTAGGTGTTAGATATGTAAATAGATAAGAATTGAGTGATATGCATGTAAATCTTCCAAGCATTTAATACCAAAAAGGTTGACAGTCTAATCCCGCAAAATCTCAAGCCCAAGGTAGGAATGAGAGCCAAAGAACAAAAACCAATTGAACATGGCATGGACATCGACAGAAAGGTAACGAACCGCATAAAAATAGAAGGGAGAAGTGTTTTGATACGAATCGGAGTCAATCAGCAAACAATTGTAAAAATATGTGAAAAAACACTCAAATTAGGGCTAATTTTGATTAATCTTCAAGCAAACAAATAATAAGATACAATGGGTGATCTACAATTCAAGAGGTGTATCGACTTTCCATGATCCCCAGACGTTGTTAGAAGCAAGAAGACAAAAAAGAAAATTGCATAAATTCAAACATGAAAACAAACCCTATGTGATTAACCCTAATAAAACAACCCCAAAACAAATTCAAACTTTCTCCCTAAATTTCCCTAATTCTTCTCCTTGCATAGGTGATTAGGGACATAACGGGCCCCACCCGGGGGTCGGAATCCTCCCAAGCGGAAATTACGGTCTCCGCCCCGCTAGGCTGGACCGGTCATCTTGGCTGGGCCAACTAGTTTTACTAGGCTAGGCTGGCTGGTCTGAGCATGTCAGGTTAGGACTATCCGTGTTTTGGAGGGACAGATTTAGGGTCTGTTTGGGGCAGTTGTTGGTTATTTATAATCTGCTGATAAGCAGATTATTCTGATAATCTGATAAACTGTAGAGCTGATTTGTTGTTTGGGGCAGCTTACTCAGAATAATTTATTGCTAGTTATGACATTGTTGCCCCTGTCTGGTAAAACTATTTAAAAGTGATATATGTTATTCCATGTATAGGATTATTCTAACACAATGGTAATTGCACCAATTCTGTAGAAACTGCAACGAAAAGTATACCTGAATTCATGTCACAGACATTTTGCAAAAACTGCATCCAAATTTCAGATCTAGCAAAATCAGAGAAAGGTCGAAAGCACAACTGAATAGAAACTGCATCCAAATTTCAGATCTAGCAAAATCTAGCAAAATCAGAGAAGGATCGAAATCACAAGTGAGACAAAAATTGCATCCAAATTTCAAATATAGCAAAATCAGAGAAGGGTCGAAAGCATCCAAACAAAAACTGCCTCCAAATTTCGAATCTAACAAAATCACCCATCCAAAATTTCATAAAAACTGCTATGACCTCCGAAACCAGCAATGGTGCATCCAAACAAAGATGCAACGAGGCACAAGTGAAGGGTCTAACCAAATCTAGCAAAATCAGAGAAGGGTCGAAAGCAATGGTGCATACCAGGCGGGAAACTAGGGTTTCGTTAGGAGGGCGAGGGCGAGGGAGAGCAGAGAGTGGAATTTTTACCTAATTTGTTTCAACGGCCGCGAGAAAGGGGTGGTTGAAGGTGAGGGAAAGGGGGGCCGGAGAGGGGCACGGGAGGTCTTTTTTACCCTAACGCGCGAACTAAACGCGGGACGCGAAGGGAGTCGGGCTTGTGAGAGTTCACATATTTCCTCTAATACTGCATATCAGAGGTACGAGAACGCTCATGCGAATGTTCTTTCCAAACGTTATTGCGGTGTTTTCAAACCGTCACCGCGCCCAACAAGCTGCCCCAAACGACAACAAAAAAAAAAAAAAAAAAAAAAAAAAAGTAGAACAATTTATAAGAATTTGATAATATTTATTGGTCACTTAGGGCCTATTTGGGGCAGCTGCCCCAGAAAGCTGTTATGAGGAAGTTGGTTAGTTGTTTGCTTTCTGCAGTTAGAAAACAGTTATTTCTGGACAAATGATCATTTTACCCTTGTGTAGTAATATTATTTGTAAGTTAATTGTTCTAACTATATATTTGATACTTTAGAATCAAAAATTCACTACATAAAGGTACAAAAATTCAGATAAAAACCTTACGTAATTGCGAGTATCAAGTATGCTACAAAAAAGAAAAAAACTGTCAAAATTACAATTAGTAATATGAAAATATTGATTTTATAATGCAGATGACGCGAGTCATGAGCTGCACCGTCCTCCAGAGATGTTATCCAGTCACGATCACTGTTGACAGTGAAATATATCGGACTGTCTACCTAACGAAAGAACTCACACTTCTCTGGACCGTAAAAACGCAAGTGTCGTATAGCAGAGTGAAAGAAGATAAACGAAACATAGCTAAATAAAATACTTTTTGCCTTTACCTTTGTTGGAAGCGACCTTCTGTGGTAGAACAATTTCACCCTTGAGGACGGGAATCTCCATGAGCTCAGTCAGCTGGCCGAACTTCTTCCGGAACTGCTCCACATGGTCTTCATCAACGACGAGACCGGAACGGCTGCCAAGGTAGAAAGGGTGATCACCTAATCATACGTCCACGGTATACTCTTTCTGCGTACCCCCAGTTGTCATCACCAGCTCGTCGTGGAAATTAGGGCAGTGAAGGTGTTGAACAGAGGAGTGACAAGGGGTCGAACAGAGGAGTGATAATGGCAGCGAGGGGTGTCGCTTAAAAATGCAAGCCTCAAATGTTGGTCATGGACTCTGACCCGCTGCCCGGGTTTAATCAATAATGTCGGACGTCGCGGCCTAAACGCCGTCCCAAACGGGCAAAAGTCGCGGCCCGAAGATGCGTCGCGGAACAGAAGCAGCCCCAAAAGGACACTTAATACACACCTCCTTTGCCCTATTAACTCCTCGACTCCACCTCTCCTATGTCCAATGGTTCCAAAACCACCTCCACGTAGGGCTGTCAAAATGCTCCTCAATCACCATCTCCTGCTCCAACAAATACTTCAAGCTCTTATGATCTATGTTAACTATAAAGTGTCACCACAATAGATAGAGACGCCACTTTTGAATGGTCAAGACAATAGCCATCAACTCCCGCTCATAAACGGACTTAAGCTGATCCCTGACAGTGAGCATCTGACTAAAAGAGGCAATAGATCGCTGGTTCTGCATGAATGTTGCCCCAATCCATATCTTGATGCATCTGTCTCTACCATAAATGGCCTAATAAAGTCTGGAAGTACTGATACTGGCATGTTGGTCATGGCCCTCTTCGGTTGTTCAAAAGTTTTTTGTCGTTGCTTCTTCCCACTCGAAACTGTCTTTCTTCAACTGCTCCGTCAACGGGGCAATAGCATCATACCCTCTCACGAGTTTTCAGTGGTACCCGATGAGACCTAAGAACTCTTTTACCTCCTTTAAGCTTCTACGCAAAGGTCATTCCAACATAACCTCAATCTTGAACTGGTACATTGCTACCCATGCTGTGGTCATCACATGCCCTAGGCACTCCACCTATGATTGTGCAAATAAGCATTTTTTCAGGTTGGTGTACAACTTGTGCTCTATCAAAGTCTTAAGTATTGTCCTCAAGTGTTTGTGTCCCCTATGCTCTGCCCCTGTAGAACCGTAGATTAAGATGTCATCAAAAAATATCATGACAAAATTCTTTAGATAAGGTTGAAATGTGGTCAGAGCGTTGATAAGGTTGAATGACATCACTGACAACTAAAAATATCCTTCATGAGTCTTGAATGTTGTCTAATACATATCAGTTGGCATCATCCAAATATGATAGTATCTTGATTTCATATCAAATTTCAAGAAGAAGATTGCTCTAAAAGGCTCATTTAATAGCTCATCAATCACCGGAATAGGAAACTTGTCCAGTACAGTTTTTTTGTTCAAAGCCGTGTAATCCACATAATATCCAGCCATCATCCTTCTTCTTCATCAATAACACTGAATTGGGAAAAGGGATCACACTTAGCCTGATAATCCCTTCCTGAAGCATCTCCCTGATCAACCTATCTATCTCATCCTTTTGAATTTGATGGTAATGGTATGGTCTAACACTGATAAGTGGAACCCCTTCCTTCAATTTAATGGCATGCTTGTTCTCCCTAGATGGTGATAACCCGCTAGTCTATGAAAGGATGTCAAAAAAAATGCTACGGAAGTTGTTGAACACACTTGGGAAATTCTACTAATTGTCGATCTCGGATCTCCTCTAAACTCTGCAACTCCACCAAATAGTCTAGTCATGCTCCCCATATTATATTGACCATGATTTTAAGTGAGAGCATGATTCTGCACAAGCTAGTATCCCCTCTCAGTACCACCTCCCTCCCCTCTACCCTAATCTCCAAAGTCAGAGATTTCCAACTCACCCTAGTCACTCCGATCATTTGTGGCTACTTCATCCCATAATCATATAAGTACTTCCCAAGTCCAATCAATCATGTAGTGTCAACACCAATCCCCTATAAATTCACTAGTTTTTTTCCACCTTTGTTCCGATCATGACCTCAAAACTTCACGTATCTACCAATTTCAACCCAAACAAGTCCACGACCCTATCTAAGATGAAGTTGTGAGTGGCCCCACTATCCACCAACACCACTACAGGTTGCTTACCGATTTGTTCGCTTATCTTCATGGTGTGATTTTGAGTATAAATTTCACCACTGAGTTGAGGGACACATCCACTATATTAAGGTGTAAGTGCCCCTCTCCCTCCACCGCTTCTTCCTCCAACATCTCACTATTTGTTTCCTCCCCATCACAAACTATAAGGACCCAGAGCATGTGATCCTTTCACCAGTGGCCCAATGCATACTTCTCATCCCATCAAAAACACGATCCCTTTGTTCTTTTGACTTGCATCTCTACCTCTATGAGGTGCTTGAAGTTAACCCGTAAACAGGCCCCCATATTAAACTCCTTTGGTGTCTCCCTCTGAAAGGAAAACGTCTGGGCCCTCAATGTCAAGGCCATCGAGGTACTCCTATGGAATCTTCTCATAGTGTTGTTTCTACTAGCCCTCTCCATCTGGTTCTTGTTTTCCATCATCTAGGCCAGCTCCATCGTCTCCCCCAATCCCCGCAGTCTAAACAGTCAGAGGGTTGCATGTATGTCGAGCTTTGGGCCCTTCATGAAATTTTACTTCAATACTGCTCATAAATCCCCCTCTACTGTCCCGATAATAACTAAAATATATTCTTATACTACATGACAATCCCCTCCTAAGTCAATGCAAATAATTGGTTGTTTAGGTCTCCTTCTTGAATGGCTCAGAAACATTCCAACAAGCAATCCTTATAATGCTCCCACGAGTGGATTAGGTGTCTAGCCTCCCTCCATTGAAACCTTGTCATAGCTTTCACCTCCAAACATAACTCTGCGACCATGAACATTTTTTCGTCTTTGAACCCATTCACAGCAAGATAACGACCTATCTGGTACACCCAAACATGTGTGTCTCTCCCTCAAAGATCAGCAACTTCAACTTCCTAACTCAAGCATCTCCACCCCAACTTCCTCTCTTTCTGATGACTCCTCCCATGTATCTAGTCATACCCCATCCCTGATTCTCTCTTTTCATTTTCGTACTCCTCCATACCACTTGCATAACCCATTCCCCATGTTTTGGCCCAACTCCATCGAAAAGTCCCTAATCCACTCCCTATGGGAACCCTAAGACGAGGTTTTAATTGTAGATGCTTTCTTTCTCATGTTCCTCTTGTTCGATCTTTTTCCCTTTATATTTTAGCTAAGGATTTCCGGTCAAGCCTTAGTTAGGATTTACAATTTGAACCATTGAAGAGGTTTTGGATTGCATCTCAATAAGCCTCCTCATCATCTCCCGTAAGACCTCAAATTGGTTTTTCATGGAGCAAAATCTTCCTTTTATGGTTGAGAACCTTTCATGGATTTAATTTGACTTATTTCTCCTTCCAATCTCACTTCCAAAACATCCACTTTCTTTGCTACCATCTATCCGTGTTCTTGTTCGGATACCAATCTGATAGAAATCAGAGTCGAAATCAGCGAACAAATTGCAATAAATATATGGGAAAACTCAAATTAAGGTTAATTTGATTAATCTGCAAGCAAACAAACAAGAACAATGGGAGATCTACAATTTGAGAGGTAGATTTACCTCCACAATCCCTAGACGTCGTTAGGAACTAGAAGACAAAAAAGAAAACTACATACTAGGTGATCAACCCTAATAAAACACCCCCAAAACCCTCTGTAATTCTTATACTCACATACATGATTACAACCTTGACGGACCCCAGTCGGGGGTTAAAATTCTCCCAGGCATAAACTGGGGCTTATGCCCCCTAGGCTAGGCTGATCCAGAAGTGATCGACATGACAGATTCCAAAGGGGAAAGTGTGCATGCATGTCTATGGGTGTCAAGTAAAAGTGATGTCAAACGTTAGGAAGCAAAGAGATATATGATTCTTATGGTCCTGCACATTTGCTACCTAAACTGTACTTTTTGCATCTACCACGGACATAGTTTACTGAAACATGTTTTGAGGTTGTCTATTTTCCAAGGATTTTGTACTATAAATGCAATGAACATTGAAAATTCAAAACTTTTCATTAATTACTTTAATATGATGGTGATCACTAGGTACTCTAAAAAATTATTAATCATATTTCAAACTAGTTTATCCGTGACATGGTTATTTCTTCATTAGAGCCTGATAACATATTGCCTTTAAAAAAGCTAATGCTTCTGACAACATTGATGTAAAGGCATATTTGTAAAAAAAAAATAACAAGAAGAACTAGCATGTTAGAAATATTTTAAAAAATGGGTAAATAAACAAAAACCAATTTCACCTCAAAAGCTTCAATACCAAATAGCAGATGGCAATTAAATTCATACCCTGTACTTTTCTTGATTTCTTGCCAAAGCACTGAAAAAAAAGAAAAAAATTTAGTAAGACAAAGTAATGATAAAAGCCTATAAATTAAAATTACGAAAATTTGCATGTGCAGCACACAATTATTATGTATTTACATATATCACATCTAAACTTTCATATTTATATACATAGCATGTTTGTGCTTTAAACATATGCATTAAAATGTGTATTTCACATTTTTAAAGTGGTAATAGTGCTATTTTTTAAGTGATATTAAAGATTTGAGTGTTGTTGTGTAAATATGAAAGTTTAGGTGTGAGCCATGTAAATACATAAGAATTGTGAGTTATGCATGTAAATGCCCCTTCAAATTATTGCCTTACCATAACCTCTGGAAGAAGAAACAGTTTTGTAAGACTTTCAGGCTTGTAATGACAGTCTTCCGGGAGCCTGATGTTACAAGAAGCTCTTTTGTTTGGTAAGAGCAAAGACTTTGGATATTTGGGTGGGTCGAAGATAGTAGGAAACTCCAAATCAATTGATTTTGAGAAATCAATATCGGAAACTATTTTTTTTATTTTAGGTTTTTTAATTGTTGCTTCTTGATTTTCAACATTATGTAAAGCCTGTTCAGAACCTACAAAACACATTCACAATTACATTTGGAACACCAAAATGCCTTTTTTTTTTATCAAATAAAACTATTACACTTCAAAATTACCTTTGGATTTCTTAAATTTCCAATAGTCAGGACCGGCCCAAGCATTTGCTTTAGAAGTGAAGCCTAAGCCATAAGACAAGAAATCAGCAATCTCGTCAACACTGACATTACTGTCTATATCCTGAAACGAGTAATCTCCAACGTCCTGCATTAATAGCTTTCGCATTGTTAATAATCACATTGAATATTGAAACCAAAAAGGGAAACTTTACATACATACCACTCAAATCTTAAGTATTTACATATCTAACGCCTAAACGCCTAAAGTTCAAACTTCAATTTTTACATGTATCTACCTTACCTATGCATGAAAATGTGAATTTCATTATCTAAAAGTTAACAATGTGGTAGTTTTTATGTCATATAATGATTTGGGCGGTATAAATGCAAAAAACAGACTTCAGGTGTTAGATATGTGAATAGATAAGAATTGGGTGGTACGTAAGTAAATGCCCAGGTAGATCTACGTAAGTACCACTCAATTCCTACATAATTACAAATATAATAATTTTTACAAACATACCACCTTACCTACGTATGAAAAGGTGCATGTCACTTTTTAAAAGTTAACATAGTGGTATTTTAGACGTGCTATGAATGATAAGGCTGGTACAAATGTAAAAAAGTAAAATTTAGGTGATAGATATATAAATACATAAGAATTGGGTGGTATGCATGTAAATGCCTACATATATGCATTGATAATCAAATAGTTCGATTAAATTGCATACCTCTTTGTGACTAGAAAAATCTGGATCTACAATTCTTGAATTATCATCAACTACTGTGCTTATATCGCCTTCATGATCAGAAACATCAGGAAAAAAATTGTCCTCCAAATTGGGGTGGTCGATATCATCTGTCTCGCCGTGGCCGGTAGAATGTTTCTCAACAGAGAATTCATTGCGTAGCTTATGGTTATTTTCACCAACAAGATCCATAATGTCCCTCAAAGTTGGTGAAATGTCGGCCTTTTTAGGCATGTTAATCACCATCAGATCAAGATAATCTGGAAGCGGAATTTAAGAAACTAGGCCAATGAGATTTAATAAAAATAAAATTTTACATGCATACCACTCAATTCTTATGTATTTA